TCGCTAAAGCGGCAGGTGCGGAGCCAGCTGGCCACAGGAGCGATGAAAAATTGCACGCCGTTGTGGCGCGAAGCACATTTCCAAGTCAAAATGTACAAAACACCTCAGCGTCGGACCACTTTTAGAAGTTGCGATGTCGAAAAAGTGCACGCCGTTGTGGCGCGAAGCACATTTCCAAGTCAAAATGTACAAAACACACCAGGTCCGGACCACTTTTGGAAGTTGCGATGTCGAAAAAGTGCACGCCACTGTGGCGCGAAGAAGATTTCCAAGTCAAAAGTGTTAAAAACTGACGGTCTCGGACCACTTTCGGAGGTTCAGATGTCGAAAAAGAGTCAAAAAAGTGCACGCCGTTGTGGCGCGAAGCACATTTCGAAGTTAAAAGTGTAAAAAACTGAGGGTTTTGAGCCTTTTTTGACGTGAAGCTGTCGAAAAAGTAGACACTGATTAACTTAACTAACTTGACTAACTTAACTAACTTCACTCAATTAAGTACCCTAACTTCGACGACAACAGCAACAGCAACAGCAACAGCAACAACAACAACAACTACTACTACTACTACAACTACAACTACAACAACTACAACAACTACACAACAACTAGAACTACAACTAGAACTACAACTACAACTACAACAACTACAACAACAACAGCAACAACAACAACAACTACTACAACTACAACTACAACTACAACTACACAACAACTACAACTAGAACTACAACTACAACAACTACAGCTACAACAACAACAACAACTACTACTACTACTACTACTACAACTACAACTACAACTACAACAACTACAACTACAACTATATGACTGCAACTACACTACACTAATTACATTACACCACAACTACAACTCCACTACGCTACAACTACAACTACAGTTGCAGTACATCACACTACATCCAGCAGGTGTGGGTGAGGTGACCACTGCAACCATTGCAACCATTCCAGCAAACACAACTCCAACCACCTTTCGGTCAATCAGTGGATTCGCTCTGCCATCCGTGATTCACAACAACCAACGTCTCCTATAGGTTTCCTATTCTGAAACTTCCGCCACCGCCTTGTGCGGTACTACTGGTATATTATGTGTGGGTATACAACAGATTATAAATACACACATGGAACATCATAATATACCCAACTTGCCTTGGTTTATACAATATATATATATATATAAAATCGATCGGATTATATGGGCATATGGATTAATATGGATTTATCATGATTGATGGGGTATAATCGTTGAACTATTTCAAAGTAGATATGTATAGATCTTCAATGGATACCGTATGGATTTAGATGTATAAGGAAAGGATACCATATGGATTTTTAATGATTTATATACTAGTTTCTTTCTTATCCTCAATGTATAAAACATGTTGGATCCGTTGAGTGTATATAGTTTTTAATGTGGATGCATTGACATCATTGACATCATTGACATATGATAGTTGAGCCTCAATGTTTGATATCCTCAAAAAAATAAAGGTATTACCATCAAATCATAGGGTTTCACAAGGTCAAGAATGAGGCGAACATGGCCAAAATCTCTGGATCCCGCAGATCATCATCCAAGGTTCTCTTGTTGGGAGTGCCGTCCAGTGCAATCATCTTGTCATCCAACTCCTAGAGGCAAGGCAGTTGATGTTTAAGGGAAAATCGTAACCGGAAACCATCGTTTTCCCCTAAAAATATGGGGTTTTCCTGTACTATTTCCCTTAAACCAATCCATTAGCTGATGCTTTCTTTCTGACTTTCTGTGAGCAGTCTTTTAAACTATCCACCAACATATCCGTGGTTATCCATAAAATCTATTCCCAAAGCGGGATTGCTCAAGAGATTGCCAAACGCCCACGTAGATTCCGTCTGCTACTATTGGCCAACGTATCCGTATGCGCAAACTATCAAGGAACGCCGTATCAAAAAAAACAAAAAAACAGCCGCAATATGATTCAGTACGGACATAAATATTGTGAAAGGGACAGTGCTTATATCTTCCTCAGTGTTTTGAACTTTAAACGGTATGGTTTATGTCTCAAAACCAAAGGTACATCAGTACATCCTTCTGGATTTTTCAAACGAATAAAATTCCTCGACATCCTTAGATAGACTTTAGCAAAACAAACGAAGACAAAGAGATATGATCCAAACATATCCAAACAAGAATAGGGGTCCCTTGCGTTTTGGCTGATAGCCTTAAACATCCTTAAACAACTAACCAATCAACGAATTCCATCCCACCAGGGTTGCTTCCGATAGCCCCGCTACAAGGGGGGTAAATTGGGCAAAGAAAGAGATAAAATCACCAATGGCACCTCCTTCTGGATATCATGCTAGGACATCCATACAATCGAATCCAACCCTAAATCGAATCGGTTTCGTCAAGTCCTTAAAATTCACCCCCAAAAAGCCAATCCATAAAAAATCCAAGTCCCTTTCAATCGAGACCCAAAAAAAAATCGACATCCACAACTGCCCTGCCGCCCTGCCTTCTGCTTGGAAACATCGAAACCCTTCAGCTCCGCATTGAGGACGGTGTTCACGGACTCCACAGCCTGGCTGTTCACAGCGGTCTGCGCTTTGGAACTTTGGAACTGATGAGAACATCCTTAAAATATCTTAAAATCCATGGTTTTTCCCATTGTTAATTTGATATGTTTCCACATTTTTTCCCCACCTGCCAGGTGAGGGTCTCTAGATTTTAAAGGTGCAACTCCTCCTCCGCCTTTTCTTCCTCCTTCTTCTCCTCCTCTCCTCCTCTGCCAGCGCCGGATGCAAGGGGCCACACCTAGACCCGAACCCTCTCGCCAGCCCCGGATGCAGGTCGCCACGCTTGGACCCGAATGGATAGAATGTCAGAATAGATTCCAGAAAGAATGTTAGACAGAATGTCAGAATGAATATATATATATATTATATTATATAATACATGCAATATACACTTCCAAATGGTATGTCAGAAACTATGTCCGAATAGTGTGTCAGGGCCAGGGTTGGGATCACTCGAAGAAAGTATTTGTTTCCTATGGTTGGATATAATTTGTTTCTAATGCTGGTAAACATGTGCGTGTGTGTGTGTGTGTTTCTTTATGTTGCAGTTTTCGTTAAGAACCATGAGTGGTGTTGTGTTCATGGGTTTTCGTGCAGTTTTCTATGGCATTTAAACCATTAATCTGGGGATTCTGATGGGAAAACAATAAATCATATGGAACATCCCTAATTCAGAAAGGCGGGTTCCTAGTTTGTGGATTATGATGACCCCCAGTAACCTAGTATACGGTAGCAAACCGTTTGATTACTCATAAACCAACTTTTTGTAAAAACTTCTCATATCTTGCCGGAGATGCATCAGATAGATTCACGTCATCCTCAAGACCCATGCTAGTGCCATACGTTTCAAGACGGATACCGTAATACTGGTCCAAAGATGACGGTCAATCTTGAAGCATGACGAATATGCTCATCAACAGACACCTGTTAGAGGTAGACTCAGGTGACAATCCTGTGGATACAAAAAGGCAACCTGCATCGGGGTTCCATTTTGATGTTTTTTTTCAACATCAAGTATGTAACCTTAAAAGTCGAAATGCCATGTGCTGCCACACCTTCACAACAGGTCGCTGCTTTCAAAGTAAATGATCACTATTGAATGGGAAAATATAAAAAAAATACCTAAGACAAATATTATCTTTAGTCTCTGAATCATCTCCTCTTCAGTCTCCAAAAAATCATCTCCTGACATTTCCAAAGAAAAAATAAGAATAATAGATTATCATCTCTGGTTGGTGGTATACTGAATACCTACCCCTCTGAAAAATATGAGCTCGTCAGTTGGGATTATGATGACATTCCCAATATATCCCAATATATGGAAAAATAATCCAAAGGTTCCAAACCACCAACCAGTTAATATATATATATGTGAATATAATATACATATATATATATATGTATATATGGGAGTTTCCATCAATGGGGGTACCCCGCTGGATGGTTTATTGGCTGGAAAGTCTAATCCATACTCATCCCCAGATTCCCAGATTTTCCAATGCCCGGCCTTCGTGACGCCCTTGCCCAAGTAGCGGCCCTTGTCACCATCGCGCAACTCGCAGGCCTGTGCAATCCGTGCGATCCTAGGGGCCTGATCTAGTCATGAACCCAAAATGGCTTGAGTTTTTTGGTCTGCTTCAATGATATGGCCTATTGTTACATGATAGTGATTATACACAACAAACTGCTGATATGATATGATATGATATGATATGATTTGATATGATATGATATGATATGATACGAGTATGATATGATATGATATGATATGATATGATATGTAGTAATATTGTGATAGTAATTGTGATATGATCTACTGATATGATATACCATACATGTTTGTTTGTTTGTTTTACACACCTGTTGGTGATGCTCAACCGATGGGATCGATGAATCACAATCTGTTGTGGGCTTACATTCCTCTGAAAATAATGCTTCAATACCCAAACTTGTTGGTTGAATTCCCCTCTATGCCACTTAAATCATCTTAAATCCAGATTGGTCAAATTCAACCGCCATTGCCCAAGTCTTGAAAATCGATGCTGGATTTACCAAACAATCCTCGTCTAGAAATCAAAGATCACTCGCCAATCTTGGATGGATTCGCAACTAAAAGCACCCCTGTAGTCTCCTCATTTTCTACCAGACTTCCATCAGTTTTCATTGGTTAACTCTGGGGTGAAATCCCCAATTTGGATGCTTCAATTCTCATCGTTGATGATTAAATCAGGTTAAATCAGGTTAAACCATGTGAAATCCAAAATTTACGCATATTTTCACCACATCTCCATGGCTCCCGCGTCCCCCGAATCGAACGTTCGTGACGCCCGGGCCAAAAAAATCACCCCGCGTCCCACGTCTCGCCTCGTGCACACCGGTGGAGGCGCCGGAGGGCACCGCTGCGGTCACTGTGATGCCGCCCTCGGTGATAAGGTCCACCTCAGGGGTCTAACTGCACTGCTGACTGCTGGGAAATACATACTTAACATTATATGGTATATATAATGGTATATTTATAATGGTATATAATGGTATATAATGGTATATAATGGTATACAATAGGTATATTTATAATGGTATATAATGGTATATATAATGGTATATTTATAATGGTATATAATGGTATATATAATGGTATATAATGGTATATATATATAGTATATAATGGTATATATATATAGTATATAATGGTATCTAGTGGTATATAATGGTATCTAGTGGTATATAATGGTATAGAATGGTCAAACACGGTTTTCTTAATGGCCCATATGGGTGATGGAAGATAACTCAAGCAAAAAGGATATTTCATGGGATAAGCCACGAGACATATCAACTTGGGGATGAAGGTGCGGTAACTTTTATGATTATAACCTCGAATCTTAGGATAACTACCTTCGTAAGTTGGGATATGGGGCCATCAATAACGTATAGCTATGGTGACACATATTATATCATGATATATCCACTTAGTTAGGCCTTATTGCCATGAGTGTCACAATGTTCTCTGCCAGGGTTCACCATTTTTTCTCAAGGTTTGGCTATCGTTTGGTGAATGTTTGGGATTCTTGCTTTAAAATTTTACGTTTGATTTTTGTTGTCTTCTATCCTGATGATGGGTGGTTTTTTGTGTAAATGTCTCTATTTAAGATCCCACATTCAGATCGTTTTGGTGCTAAAACAAATCCCAATTCTGGACGCTTCCATCTCCAAGTCTGGACGCTTCTGAATTTCTCGCATGGCTTGTCTGAAATGCTATTAATACATCTATATAATATAGTCTATATACTATATACCCAATTTTCGATGGCCATCAAATAATGGGCCAAAACGGATGATTCACCCATTCACTTCGCAGTTCTTCCCTCAAACTTCAGGTACCAAAACCATGGTTTTTGCCGTACCTCCACAGTGGGATTGCCGCGGCTGTCCAGGATTTCGCGACCCTTCAGCTCCTTCGATGGACATTTCTCAGGTTTATGGTGGACCAGTGGATGTTGGGCATTACTTGGTAGATCTCGGAACAGCAATCAACACGGGGCTTTTAAAGCAACCAAGTTTTGAATTTCAGGGCAACCAACATGGGAATCGCATTGTCGAACACAAATGCATAGTATCCAGATGTATCCAGTCTCAGTATCTGCCTTAAATCACAGGACTTGAGGACCTTGCGCCTCTTTACAACCCCATATTAGAGAAGCATCATATTTTACTGGTTACTGCCGGTTACTGCAAAGACTCCAGAATCTTTCCCCTAAAGGCCATAGGTCCATAGTCGTTGAAAGTTGGTCATGGCGATGGTTGTTGCATGTTGCTGGGGTATCTGCAGCTTGCCCTGGTATGTCGACTCACATTTCTTCGATACAGTCCCACGATTCAATTTGGACCGTATGTTGCCTGTGCTTTGAGGAACTTTTGGAACCCCAATGATCGATTGGACATGGGCACATACCACAGTGCACAACCTCCAAGCACCCTGGAAATCGCCACCTCGAAAAAAAAAACTAATCACTGAAAATACTGTCCCCGTTCTATCTCAATGTTTCAGGGCCTGTAAGTCGCTTACTATCATTTACTATCCATTCACTACATTTAGAAGCTTTAGGTTTACAAATGCTATGCATTTACACATCGTACTCTACAAGGTGTTGCCCACAACTTGTAAGTTAATGTATAACCCCCATCTGGCTAGTTTGAGACTGAGATAATAAGTCAAAAGTTAAGCCTCCAGTTATTCAACCAGCTTAGCTAACAACCTGCGCACCACTATTGGCTAAATCATGATGAAATCCTCATACTCCCCATGTTTCATCAGTAAAATCTGAGCAAATCCTCAATTTTTCATGCTCAAAAATCCCGATGTTCGAAGAATTTCACCATCCAATCAGCATCCCATGGATTCCCATGGGGACCCTCCTTGATCTTGAACATGTTGGCCGAGACAGCCTCAATGGCTGCGGTCAGATCCGCACATCCGGTGGCCTTCAGCGCATCCAACACGGACTTCGCCATGGCAATGCGGAACCGAACAACGACGACGAGTTTCACGGGGGACCGAAAAAGACTGCGGGGCGCGAGGATGAAACAATGGTGAATCAATGGTGATTTAATGGTGATTTAAATGGTCAATCAGTTAATCATGGTGAAGCTCCTGCGAATTCAGAGCGCTATAGACTCTATAGACATATCCACCACAACCATCACTTAACCATCATCACTTAACCATCATCATAACCATCCAGCCAGACCACCTGAAATGATGGTTAAATCATGTTAAATCCCCATGATTGTGACACATAACTCGGAATGCTTCGGAAGATTCGGAATGATCAAACTAGATTAAGATGCAATCCAATGGTAGATCACAGGGCTGAAACGTTTCTTGACTCAAACATGATCATCTACCGAAAAAAACAAAGTACGCAGAGCTTCCACCCAGAGCTTTCAAAGAGCTTCCAACTCAAAGCTGCTTAGGTACTGTAATCTTTGCAAAATATCCCACTGGATATTATCATTGTCTCAAGGTTTACCCATCATTTCCACCAAGCAAAAGTTTACTTGGAGCCAGTAAATCCTTGACGTTTCCACATTCTATTCTATTCGAATATACCCAGTATGACTATTTAAACATTGTATATAGATATAATAGACAGATATGATAATTATATACATACAAAATCAATCAAAATCATATAAATACATATAACATCGTCATAACACCAGATATAACAGCCAACTATGACCTCCCCATGCCACCAGCCTGGCGGATTCAAAGGCCTCATACCAGGCATCTGGAAGCGGCTCCTCCGAATGGCCCCTGACCTGCGCGGCCCGAGAGACCCCCGCAGCCGGCCGGCCTGGAGGGCTTGGACTTTGCGATGGAACATCACCATGATTCACGTGCAATACTGGTTGGTGGTATACCTACCATTGTGGTAAATATACTGTTAATAATTGTTAATATATTGCTATTATCCTCGACCCTCCACTGCCGAGGAAAAAATGGTCGTTCTAAGAAGATAGGTCAAACAAACCAAAAAATGATTCACTTTGTTCCCAACATGTATGTTTCTGGGAAAATCTCAGCACTACAGCCGGGTACACAAACCGTGATGATTTTTGGAACAACCAAAAAAATCCGAAAACTACCTAAAACAACGAGATTTCAGGATTTGCGGGTTTTTGCGGTTTTTTGCGTGTTTTTGCGGGTTTTTTGCGGGTTTTTTTGCGGGGTTTTGCGGGTTTTATCCCCAGTCGTTTGATGCGCTGCAAACATTTTTTGGCCTTTGTCTCACCAAACCCAAAAACATGCAATCAAAGTCCTAAAATCCAAGATCTAGGTGTTTAGGGTAAAATCAGTCGATATAGGTCAAATTCCGAAAACACCTATATTTTTCTAGGATTTGGAGGGTCGAGGATATGGTTAATGATGGTTAATAATAATTTGCTTGGTGGTTTCAACTTTCAACCTACCCCTCTGAAAAATGATGGAGTAAATGTCAGTTGGGAGTATACGACATTCCCAACTGAATGGAAAAAATATCCAAATGTTCCAAAGCACCAACCAGAATAGGATGTAATAGGTAAATCACCCGAGAATTGACGTATTTGTATGCATATGATGTGTACTGTGTAATGGCTCATGTTCAACATATGAAATTACCAAAAGAATTCATGATATATGGGTTTGTCTAAACATGGTTAAGAACGATGTTTCATCATACTCCCATTCAAATTGCTAAAAAGTGGAGGTGTACCTCATTTTCAGTCAAGCCCATTATAGCCATTATATGTATAATGTATACAGTATACGCATGGAACTTCATGAACTGAACATTTGGATGTTTTTGGTTGTACCTCATTGTGGGGTCCACAAACCACTGGGGCAGATTTCTTGTGATTTTTGGTCATCAACTATCTAGTGGTAAAACAACTCGCAACAAGAACATACAACAACCAAAGTAGTTACTGACATTCCAAGCTGCTAATTCAACCATGATTAAAAATCCCCTTGTGGTGCACCCAGATGGGGTTGAACCCCTGAAAAATAAAATGAAATCAAGGGCACCCAGGCTACTGACCCCCAAAATGCAAAAATGAAATCAGGGGAGTTCAACCCCACATGTTGCGCAAAGAGAAAATCATCAGTATCATCAGTCATCCAACTGAGGGGTTTGCAAAAATAAAATCAAGAGGTTCCAGAAATAAAATCAAGAAGGTTCCAAGCCAGCATCCAAAATGTTCCAGAAATAAAACTGAAGGGTTCAAGGTCAGCATCTGTGTTTGTGAAATCATCTGAAATCTCAACAAAATCTATCAAATATTGAATCCAAACATATCCAAACCCAGTTTTTAAATATGTATTTCAAGCTTTGTAGAAGCAGAATGGTGTAATCAGGTAATCACAATCCATAGTTTTTTTTCTTTTTTGTGGCGTGTTCTGGCTGCATCCTTTTCTGCCCAAACAATAGTGACCACCAAACAAAGGCATAGATTCAATATATTCCAACCATACTACCCAACAAAATTCTACAAGCTTGGGAACCTTGGATTTTATTTTCCCCAAAATCTATCAAATATTGAATCCAAACATATCCAAACCCAGCTTTTAAATATGTATTTCAAGCTTTGTAGAAGCAGAGTGGTGTAATCAGGTAATCACAATCCATAGTTTTTCCCGAATGCGTAGCAAGGGTTCCCGTTTCACTCTGGGGGTCTGGGGGTTGAGGGTGTGTTCGCTCGACGTTGCGTTTGTGGTCGCAACCGTCCGCAACCGTCCGCGCGAGGACCATATGGCCGTGCCTATGGGAAGTTTTGCAGAGGTGGTCCTTTTTGGCGTTTTCAGACGTGTCGTTGCTTCGTTTCGCGTGGCAGGCGTGGCACTACGTGTTCTGGAACGTGTCGAAAGTCGTTTTGTGTGGCAGGCGCAATACTTTTGCGACGTTTTCAGAAGATGTGTTGCAGTTTTCGTGGCAGGCGCAGCACTTTGGACGTGTCCATTGTCATTTTTCGTGGCAGGCGCAGCACTTTAGACGTGTCGTGTTTGGTGTTTTTTGCAAATCGCATTGGCAGGGCTGCGTCGAGTGGCGACAAGGTGCAAATTCCGTGGCAGTCGTGGCATTTTGTGCGACGTGCTGAAAATTGACGGAAGCCTCGCACGAAACATCGATTTTGAGGTTGCAAATTTTCAGGTTCTAAGGAAACCTCGTAGGAAAACGTCGATTTTGAAGCTACAAAGTGTCAAAATTGGAGGAAGTCTCGCACAAAATGCTCGTTTTGGTGCTCCCACCTGTCTCGTCTCGCGTGTCTGGTTTTCCCGTGGCCTCGCCGTGTCTATGGGGGAAGCTGCAAAACTTGTCCTTTTGTCATGTTGCCAACTGTGAAAATTGGAGGAAGTCTCGTACGAAATGCTGGTTTTTCTGCATCCATGTGTCTTGTCTCGAGTCGCTGGTTTTCCTGTGGCGTCGCCGTGTCTATGGGGGAAGCTGGAAAACCTGTCCTTTTCGAATGTTTCCAAGCAGGTTGTCATGTTGTTTTGCGTGGCAGACGTGGCACTTTCTGACATTCCAACCTGTTTGATGATGTTCACAAAATTTCAAAATTGGAGGAAGTCTCGTAGGAAAAGCTGATTTTTCTGCATCCAAGTGTCTTGTCTCGAGTCGCTGGTTTTCCTGTGGCGTCGCCGTGTCCATGGGGGAAGCTGGAAAACCTCTCCTATCCGAATGTTTCCAAGCAGGTTGTCATGTCGTTTTGCGTGGCAGGCGTGGCACTTTGTGACATTCCAAACTTGTTTGATAATGTGTTGAAAATGTCAAAATTGGAGGAAGTCTCGCACAAAATGCTCGTTTTTCTGTACCATGCAACTCGTCTCGAGTCTCTGGTTTTCCTGTGGCGTCGTCGTGTCTATGGGGGAAGCTCCGCGCTCCACACTCTACACTTTACACTCCACACTTTACACTTTGCACTTTACACTCCTCACTCCTCACCTGAGACTTTACACTCCACATTCCACACTTTACACTCCTCACTCCACACTCTACCCTCGTCACTTTACACTCTACACTCCACACTCCACACTTTACACTCTACGCTCCACACTTTACATTTTACACTCCTCACTTTACACTCCACACTCCACACTTTACACTCCACACTCCACACTTTACACTCCTCACTTCACACTTTCCACTCCACACTACACACTCCACGCTTTACACTCCACACTCCACACTCTACACTTTACACTCCACACTCCACACTTTACACTCCTCACTTTACACTCCACACTCCACACTTTACACTCCACACTCCACACTTTACACTCCTCACTCCACACTTTACACTCCACACTCACTTTACACTCCACACTTCACACTCCACACTTTCCACTCCACACTCCACACTCTACACTCCACACTTTACACTCCACACTCTACACACCACACTCTACACTTTCCACTCCACACTTTATACTTTACACTCATCCCTCCACAATCCACACTTTACACTCCTCACTTTACACTCCACACTCTACACTTTCCACTCCAGACTCCACACTCTACACTTTACGCTCCACACTCCACACTTTACACTCCACACTTTACACTTGACACTCCACACTTTACACTCCACACTTTACACTTGACACTCCACACTTTACACTCCTCACTCCACACTTTACACTCCTCACTTTACACTCCACACTCCACACTTTACACTCCACACTCCACACTTTACACTCCTCACTCCACACTCCACACTTTCCACTCCACACTACACACTCCACGCTTTACACTCCACACTCCACACTTTACACTCCTCACTCCGCACTCCACACTTTACACTCCACACTCCTTACTTTACCCTACACACTTCACACTCCACACTTTCCACTCCACACTCCACACTCCACACTTTACACGCCTCACTCCACACTTTACACTCCACACTTTACACTCCACACTCCTTACTTTACACTCCACACTCTACACTTTAAACTCTACACTATACTATACACTCTACACTCCACACTTTACACTTTACACTCCACGCTTTCCACTTTACACTCCTCACTCCACACTTTACACTCCACACTTTACACTCCACACTACACACTCTACACTTTACACTCCACACTCCACACTCTACACTCCACACTTTACACTCCACACTCCACACTCTACACACCACACTCTACACTTTCCACTCCACACTCCACACGCTACACTCTACACTCCACACTCTACACTTTAAACTCTACACTTTACACTCTACACTTCACACTCTGCAATTTACAGACTCCACACTCCTCACTCCACACTTTACACTCCTCACTTTACACTCTACAATTTACAAACTCCACACTTTACACTCCACACTTTACACTCCTCACTTTACACTCCACACGTTACACTTTCCACTCTTCACTTTACACTCCACACTCCACACTTTGCACTTTACACTCTTCACTCCACACTCTACACTTTCCACTCCACACTCCACACTCTACACTCCACACTCTACACTTTACACTCCATACTCCACACTCTACACTTCACACTCCACACTCTACACTTTACACACTTTACACTCCCCACTCCACACTTTACACTCCACACTCCTTACTTCACACTCCACACTCCACACTCTACACTTTCCACTCCACACTGCAGACTGGTAACAAGGGAAACATGCACAAGACTGTTCAAATAAACTATTGCAGAAAGGTATTGTGCGTGACTGCATAACCATGTGTTTTGACATCTGTGCCATTAACATACGTGTGAGCATTCGGGTTCGTGGGCTTCATCTTGTTTCTTTTTTGTGGCGTGATAGCCATTGTTTTCATCATGTCTTGTCCACCAATTCCAACACAAGAGGTGTGTTCCAACATGTTCCAACAAAACAAAAAGGTAAGCAAAACGCAAAAATAAAACCAAAGGGACCCAACCTAAAGCTACTCCACCAGCTGCATTGGGGTTGGTTCTTGGTCTTGGCCCATGTCTCAAAAATAAAATCATAGGGGTCTGACTTACTCAAAACTTATGATAAGCACCTTTTGAAAAATAAATTTAAAAATATTTCGGGCTCAAGCCCCTTGATTTTATTTTTGAACACCGCTTAGGGATATTAAAAATTATATTCACATATATCATATATATATACTGTATATCATATATCATATATATATATATATATGAATTATATAATCATGATAAACCGTTATCAATCACGGGTCGTTTTTTAACGTCTCCCCAAATCCACTTGTCATCGGTTGACCGCCTGAGCCAAGGCAGCCAGGAACGTGGCGCCACGCCACATGGCTGACGCAACGAAACGGGTTCAACGCTTCAGGGCTATCCCTTGGTTCACTATACGCCTTAAAGATCCTTCAAGTTGAGTTGCTCTACCATGATTTTTCAATGGTTGGGCACACAGTCTTAGAATGTCTTTGTAGTTCAATTTCAGATCGGGTTTAGTCAGTCTTGTAGTTTCGATATTTTTTGATATGTTGAGATTAATGCTCAGATTGCCCAGCCGGTATGTCTCCAGGTTTGTTGACTCTGGGCAAAAATCATGGCGATGGCTCAAACATGGTAAACCAACATGGACCCGCAAACAATACATCTTCGTTTCTGGTTAAAAACGTAAAACCATCCGTTTTGGGAGGGATCAACATGGATCAACACGCTTGAGCCATTTCCAAAGTGTGCACTATATGGCAGGTATCAGCCGCTGGAATGGCGTCGCCAACACCACTCTTCAATGGACTTGCTTCAGAACACTCTTCAAGCAGAATCTACGATATCTAAAGGCCAGTTGTTTTGTTGGTTTCCTTGTCCTTCATCACCATCTGACCCATCTGATGCTTTCTTGTATCTTTCTTGTATCTATATCTGCAAGGTGCTGGTCCCTACCATCCCTCATGCCAATCCACTTCGGGGACAGACCGCCGGAAAAAGACGTAGCACGTGACATTCCCTCATTGATGCGATATATGCGACCATGAGACTAACCTGACATCATAGATCACCTTAAAACCAGGTCAGCTAGACTCGCTAGAGATCAACGAACTCGGCTTCAGACGATGCTTTAGCGAGTCAGCAAACCAGCCGGGCATTCAGATTTAGTTCGATGACTTCCCCATCAAAACCCTACGGCCTGGTCAAGTGGCTGAGAATCACTTGGGAAAGGTGAGGAAAGGTCGAGTGGTCCTGGTGACTTTGGCCGGCACGCTGCGCAAGAGCTTCTCCAGGTAGGCGGCCTCCAGAAAGCATTGTTGACATATATTATAGAGCAATGCGTTTCTTGATGTTTCCTTGTATCTACTTAAGTTCTGAATTAACCAAAAACACATGCTTAGTTTCTTCATGGTTCTTCATCTCCCGGTGGTTGATGTGAAGTAACCTGACCTATTTCAGCCACAAGTAGCGGCCAGCGGCACTGGATCAATTCGCAGTTGGTCCATCTGCACTTGGCGAATCATCCTAGGATTTTCCATTATAAACCAGCCATTTTGGAATACCCACATTCATGGAAACCCCTATCTGGTTGGTGGTATACCTACCCCTCTGAAAACTATGAGTTCGTCAGTTGGGATGATGACATTCCCAATATATGGAAAAATAACATTCATGTTCCAAACCACCAATCAGTTGATTTTTGATGGGTTACCCCCGGAACTAGTGATCATATGATACTTAGTGGTACTTACATGCTACCCCACTTAAATGATATATCCCAGATATCCCACTTAAATAGACCATGATTTGGCGACTCACCATGGTGAGATCTGCCATGAGATCATCGTCCAGGCCCTGAGTCGTCCCCCGTGGTCCCGGCCCAAATCTCAAACTGCTCCGGGTCCGACAGGCCCCGGCCATAGATTTCTTTGATCTCCTGGCAGGTTTTTGTTGGGGCCATGGCCCATGCCCATGCCCATGCCTGGCGAAATGGCTCAAACTCATGATTTACCACATTTAAATCATTTGGATGGTTTCCGAAAATAGGGCTACCACCAGTTATCATCCATTTTAATGGACTTTTCCATAACATCCATTACATCCATTATATCATTATTGGGTACCCCCCATTTTTGGAAAACGCCATTTGGATGGTTTCTGTCTCCTTAATATCACCCCAAACAAATCATCCACTTTAATGGAAGTTTCCATCTGGTTGGTGGTTTCAAACCCCTCTGAAAAATATTAGTCAGTTGGGATGATTATTCCCAATATATGGAAAAATAAAAAATGTTTGAAACCACCAACCAGCCATTATAAAACATCCATTATTGAGTACCCCATGTTTGGAGTTTCCCATGGTTTCCCATGGTTTCCCCATGAAACGGATGCTTTCTGTCTCCTCAGGAGCTTCCTGAACTGCCGGCAAACAGCAGGGAGTGAGGACCAAGGACCTCAACGGCGATGACGACGATGACAGAAGTTCATGGGATGGTGAGTTGTATGGTGACTAAGACTGATTTACTCTCCAGTAAATTAACATAGACCCTGGCAGATAGGGGTTGGAAGATGAGTTTCAACTAAACAATGACTATTTTCAGGGTCTATGCTAATTTACCAGAGGGTAACACGATTTAACCAGGCTTCAGAAGGGATGACAAATATACGGTGAACGATTTACCCAACAATCATGAAACACCATTGGTGATCTTCAATAGCCATGTGAAAAACCATTGGGTATGTGTGTTGGTTTATATAACATGATTATATATCATATATATAATATAACCCAGCTACAGGTTGTTCATGGTTGTTCATCATCCAGTGTTGCGACCTGTTGCGAATCAGGGAGCTATTCTTCGGAATGCGACGGGTTGCCATTCTGTTCAATGGAATTTCTAAGGGGAACATCTAGAGGAAATATCAGTTGTTTATCCCAAAATGTAGGGCTTTCCTGAAGAATTTCTTTTAAACCATCTGGGAATATCAACACCTATTCCGTGTGCTTCATGTGTGGCACGTAAGCTATAATGGTGCTACATTCAAGGGTTAAATGTTGGTGACTATTCCATACATGGAGCAAATGAGTACGTATTGAGTTTATGCGATGTAAATAGTTCATAGGTAATACAATGTACAGAATATACTGAATCTAAAGAGGTTACATTGTGTATGTATTGACGTTGCAAGTCACATGAGGATACATTGACCTGATCTGGGACGCAGAGACCCGCAATTTCAGTGACATGTTCATATCCTTATAAATCCTTATGGGCATAGAACTCTCCATGAATGGATTCCTCAATAGATGACCATCCAAAATTCAACCCCATCCCATCCTGCAACTTTTACACCACAATCTCCGGCGTGTGAATGACTCCCGGTCGCACTCACTCGCGTTTGCGCTTCTTGGCGGTACTAGATTGCGATGCATACAACCCATCACGAAACTTCAACACTTCATCTTTGCCTAGGAAAGGGGTCAAACATGGATTAGCTTCACTGACAGTTGTTGGAATTCAGAATGGAAGAACAGCCACAACAAACAAGGGGATACGGATGGCAGTATCAAACAACGTGAGTTATAACACCAGCATACACGGGAAATATTTACGGGAAAGGGGGATGACTTGATGATCATCGCAGTGGCAACGAGACCGTGCATATCTGCCCAACATAGTCATTGAACATGGCCATCGGTAAAACATCAATGGGTAATTGTCCATAGCTGAATTACCGGATACCAAGGCTTCTGTAGGTCTTTCCAGGACACCCGACAGTTTCCAGGAGTATGCGTGGAAAGGCAGTGTGCTGCACTGGGCCACAATCATGTAGTAATTTGTGAAATGTGAATAATGGATGGTAAAAGGTATTGCACCCCCAACAAAATAGGACCCAGGAACCTGCAGTTGTTTGCTCCTGTTTGATACTGAGCCTCCCATCTGATCTATCCTCAGGAACTCGAACCGTGACCAATCTTAGATACCCATCAAAAGATTCAAGTATCAAAGGACCCATCTAAGGTTTCCCTAGTCACATAGAAGAAGGTCCCCGTCAGATTCATTCTTTTTTCGAAGTCCCGATCTCTTGCCGTGTTCGCCAGTTCCCAACCAAGGCCAGCATGGCATGGTATGGCCTTGGTATAATCAATTCTATCCCCATTTTGGGGGTCCAAAACGCCCAAAAAACCCTGATAAACAATGGTCCAGTCCCCATATTTGTGGCAAATCCCCGGTTTCATAGTAGGTTGTAATCCCCACTTCAGTATTCATGTGTTAAATATAATATATGGTTAAATCACCATTTCCCTGGTAAACAATCTCAATTCCAGAGGTACACCCCGGTGTGACCCATCTCCACCAAGAAGCTCTTCCCCGCATTGAGCTTTTCCCAGCACAGCCGCGCAATGCGTTCGGCCACCAAAATATGACCCGCGGCCTTCACGGTGGTTTGAAAGGGAAACTTGCTTCCATCCTGAGGTCGGAAGCTGAGTGGTGCGCCCAGGTGAAGTGTTTGTATGTGGCACTGTGGGTTTCGTTTCAACACATGGGGACACAGAAAACACCTAATGAACCCAAACATGAAATTGAGTTGTGTTCACCAACTTAGCTAACCATTGGGAAACATTCGGAAGCTGGAGATAAGGACTGGCCTCGTGTGATTTTTGAAGAAACACAAATTCCCATGCGTCATCATGGTCCAATATATTTATTGAAATATATCAACATGGCCATAGATTTGGGGTCTACCCTCTGGTAAACTAACATAGCTATTGAAACTTGCCATTTATAGTTGATTTACCCATCAAAAATGGTGATTTTCCATGGTTGTGTTAGTTTACCAGAGGGTACCCAATTGATTGGACAAGCCCTGAACTTCCTTCCTTCCGGTGAAACCGATCAGAAAAACCAACTCAGCAGGGTCACACACCCAAAGCCACACGAAACCATGGCTTATCCTCATCTTCCCCATGACTGCCATATGAATGGGAGTCCATCCCCCCAAAAAAACACGACAAAACCCACACGGGGTTTAAGCACCAAACCCGAACCCGCATCCTTCGAACTTTCGAACTCAAAGAGGGTTAATATCCGACACGTCGGTTTGTCTGAACATAGGTGTATCATCATTGTTCCTATCAACATTGCCATAAATTGGGGTTATACTCCATTTTCAGACACATCCATGATGGTATATACATCATATACTCATACAAATATCCCATGCTGCATTGCAATTATATTACTGTATGTATATATATATATATATTACATGTATATGTATATATATATATTATGTATATCGCATGCTTCCCATTGAACTGGAAAAGGATTAATATCCCATAGAATATGCAATGTGTATATAGATAATCCCTTCCTCCTAATACTAAACCCCCCCCCCTAATACAAAACACGGCAGGTAGTTTTTAGTATTAGGGGGATATTTATTATTAGGGAACCAAATCGAAGTCATGTTAATTAGTTATTCATGCATTAGAATGGAGGAAGGGATTATTCATTTTATACAGATTTCTAAGTAATTCTAATTAATTAATTAGATGCATAATTATGTATATAATTATAAGTGTATATGTATATATAATCAATTCATTCGTGTATAATTATGTAGTAATTATTCATGAGGGCTTCATGATGGCTACAAATAAGTAAATAGATGTACAATCAATTAATTATATGTGTATATGTAATTAGTAATCATGAGGGTTTTCATAATTATGCTGGCAATAAGATTTATTTGGCAGATAATTAGAATCCATAATATTAGGGAACCAAAGTGGGAACCAATGTTGAATTTATGTTTTTAAGGATTATATAGGAGGAGGGGATGAATTATTCATTGTATAAAGATCCTTATAATTGTCCAGTTTTTTTTTCCAGCGGGTCAGGTCCACAGACAGCTAGCCTCCATTGTGTGCTGGTTCAAGCAAAAAAAAGCGAGGCAGAACAAAGCCAGTCAGTAGTAAGGGCAAACAGACGGGCAGTAATGGCAGCCGCGCAGCCAGTCCAAGCAGTTGCTGAGCCAGCTGCCCAGCAGCCAGTCACTCAGCCTGAGGGAGCGCAGCCAGACCAGCAAGTGCAGGCAGCTCAGCAAGCAGCCTTGGCAGCCCTGGCAGCAGAGGCAGCAGCTTGGCAGCAGACAGACAGTTGAATTAATTAGAGCAGTTGCATTGGAATCAGTTGTGCAGGCCAGTTTCATGGATGGATAGATAGATAGATGGATAGATAATTAGTTAGATAGATAGATAGATAGATAGATAGATAGATAGATAGATAGATAGATAATTAGATGATTAGATGGATAGATAGATAGATAATTAGATAGATAATTAGATAGACAATTAGATAGACAGATAGATAGAATACAGGCAGGTCCCCCCAATACTAAGCACCAGACCTTAGTACTAATTAAAAACTACTTCATCTCCTTGCATTTACCTTTCTAATTAAAGTTCTTACTAAAACTGCTGCTTCTGTGCTGCCAGGCTAGCTCCAGGCAGGTTCTCCCTAATACTAAGCACCAGACCTTAATACTAAAAACTACTTCATCTCCTTGCATTTACCTTTCTAAAGTCCTTACTAAAACTGCTGCTTCTGTGCTGCCAGGCCAGCTCCAGGCAGGTTCTCCCTAATACTAAGCACCAGACCTTAATACTAAAAACTACTTCACCTCCTTCCATTTCCCTTTCTAAAGTTCTTACTAAAACTGCTGCTTCTGTGCTGCCAGGCTAGCTCCAGGCAGGTTCTCCCTAATACTAAGCACCAGACCTTAATACTAAAAACTACTTCACCAGCTGGCATTTCCCTTTCTAAAGTCCTTACTAAAACTGCTGCTTCTGTGCTGCAAGGCTAGCTCAAGAAGGTTCTCCCTAATTACTACAGCACACCAGACCTTAATACTAAAACTACTTCACCTCCTTCCATTTCCCTTTCTAAAGTCCTTACTAAAACTGCGCTTATGTGTGCCAGGCGAGCTCCAGGCAGGTTCTCCCTAATGACAAGCAGACACAGACCTTAAACTAAAAACTACTTCACCTCCTTCCATTTTGCCCTTCTAAAAGCCTTACTAAAACTGCCTGCTTCGGTGCTTGGCCGGCTAGCTTCCAGGCAGGTTCTCCCTAATACTAAGCACCAGACCTTAATACTAAAAACTACTTCCCCAGCTGGCATTTCCCTTTCTAAAGTTCTTACTAAAACTGCTGCTTCTGTGCTGCCAAGCTAGCTCCAGGCAGGTTCTCCCTAATACTAAGCACCAGACCTTAATACTAAAAACTACTTCCCCTCCTCCCATTTCCCTTTCTAAAGTCCTTACTAAAACTGCTGCTTCTGTGCTGCCAAGCTAGCTCCAGGCAGGTTCTCCCTAATACTAAGTACCAGACCTTAATACTAAAAACTACTTCACCTCCTTCCATTTCCCTTTCTAAAGTCCTTACTAAAACTGCTGCTTCTGTGCTGCCAGGCTGCCAGGCTAGCTCCAGGCAGGTTCTCCCTAATACTAAGCACCAGACCTTAATACTAAAAACTACTTCACCAGCTGGCATTTCCCTTTCTAAAGTCCTTACTAAAACTGCTGCTTCTGTGCTGCCAAGCTAGCTCCAGGCAGGTTCTCCCTAATAGTAAGCACCAGACCTTAATACTAAAAACTACTTCACCAGCAGGCATTTCCCTTTCTAAAGTCCTTACTAAAACTGCTGCTTCTGTGCTGCCAAGCTAGCTCCAGGCAGGTTCTCCCTAATAGTAAGCACCAGACCTTAATACTAAAAACTACTTCACCTCCTTCCATTTCCCTTTCTAAAGTCCTTACTAAAACTGCTGCTTCTGTGCTGCCAGGCTAGCTCCAGGCAGGTTCTCCCTAATACTAAGCACCAGACCTTAATACTAAAAACTACTTCACCTCCTTCCATTTTCCTTTCTAAAGTCTTTACTAAAACTTCTGCTTCTGTGCTGCCAGGCTAGCTCCAGGCAGGTTCTCCCTAATACTAAGCACCAGACCTTAATACTAAAAACTACTTCACCCCCTTCCATTTCCCTTTCTAAAGTCCTTACAAGTCAGACTGCTGCTCTGTGCTGAAAGGAAGAAAGAGAAAGGAAGGGGAGTTTTACACTCCTCCTCGCAGCTGGTTCTCTATCTAACTCATTCCTTGCTGTTCACCACATGGGGTTTTACCAAATCATCTCCTAATCTGATTTCAGCCACGGCCCTTAACACTCTTTACTCTTCTTCTTTCTGCTTCGTCACTTAAATTAGGTCTTGACTAAAGACGTGAGCAAAAGTCCTTATCGGATCCAAGACCCCCACTAGATCAATGGTTCTTTATCCCTCCCTAATACTAAGCACCAGACCTTAATACCAAAAACTACTTCACCTCCTTCCATTTCCCTTTCTAAAGTCCTTACCAAAACTGCTGCTTCTCTGCTGCCAAGCTAGCTCCAGGCAGGTTCTCCCTAATACTAAGCACCAGACCTTAATATTAAAAACTAATTAATTATATAATTACTTCACCAGCTGGCAAGCCACAGGGCAGTTGAATTGGAATCAGTTGTGCAGAAACTTGGATGGATAGAAAGGTAGACAGATAGGTAATTAGACAGATAATGAGTTAGATAGAATAGTAAATATGTGGGTATATATATATATACTTATATATTTTATTACATATATATATAATTATGTGTGTGTGTGTTTGCTTGTTTGTTTTCTGCCAGATTTGTTTCATTTCCAGTCCTTCTGCTCGAGTCAGTCAGAAAGTAGAGCACTGGCAGCCAGTGTGATGAAGAGCGATGGGAAGGTGCAGAGCCAGGATGGCCAGGAGGAGGAAGGACAGGCAGAGAGTGTGTCAGTCAGGAGAAGCTTGTCAAACGAATTGAGGCAGGCAGCTGCTACCCCAGAGAGAGGGCAGAAGAGACAGTCCTCAAGTCCAGGTAGCTCAGTCACCAAGTTCTATCGTTTGGATTACATGTTTGGTTCTTCTAGTGAGAAGATAGCCAGGCAAGAAGTGCAGCCTCTCAGTCCAGCACAGCAGCAAGCTCTAGTCAGTTTAGAGTCAGCTGAGGACAGTGCAGCAGTAATTCTGCCACCATCGAAGAGGAAGGGAGGCAGGCCCAAAGGTTCAGGGAGGAAGCATGGAAAGCCAGCAGTTGGAGTCAGAAAGCATCGAGCTGAGCCAACAGCACAAACCAAGTTGCAGCTCCACGCAGAACTAGTGGAGCTTTGCCAGCAGCCAGGCTTGAGCAAGACCAAAGCCAGACAGATCATAGGATCGAAATACGGCTTGAGCACGACAGCAGTCAGAAACTTGGAGAAGACAGACACAATGGCTCAGATGACAGAGTTTGTCAGCCAGAGACAGCTAGGCAAGCAAGGTTTGAGAAGAAGAGGCAGCCACTTAAGCATGGAAAAGCGGACCAGCAAGGCCCAAGGCAGTCGAGTGGCTGGAGCAGGCAAGCAGCTAGGTC